AAGCTTTACACTTCACCTTGCATTGGAGTGCAGCTGAAAAATTAGTTACAGAACCATCAACCATGCCTCCTTTCACAAAAACTGGAACAGCAGTTCATTCCAGACATCGGGCACGCCTGGCAAGCACCAGTGTATACAATCCGAGTAACTTGCAGGGTTTGCTAGTTTTTCAGGGGACAACGCCTCCCAAAACTTACGGTAGATGGTGGGATGCCCATCCTTCCTGTATTCTGAAAGCTTGGTGATGTTGAGAACCGAAACTTTTGTGCCCAGATCGCCCAACACCCTTCCCACCATCTGCATTGTATCGACATCAGAGCCGTTTCCCCAGTAGCCTCTGTTTGTGATGGGGAGTTTCTCATCGTAACAGTTTCCTTCGCTTCCCGGTTCCCATCCTTCCTTCCTGACAATACAGGGAAGAAAATGAGTAATCATAGTACCAACAAAGCGATAAAAGTATAAAACAATACAAACAAAAAAAAGGTTTCACATGGTTTTAGGATTCAGAAATAAACAGCATTGTAAGACATTGGCTCTGTTTGGTAAAAAATTGGCCTATAGGCCAATTTTGGCTTATATGACCATTATTAACAGCTATCAGCTAACAGCTAATTTACCAAACACTTTTCTACAAGAGAAAATGTTATCAACTAGTTATATCCTCTAATTAACACAATCAGCTAACAGCTAACAGCCATTTACCAAACTGGGCCAGTAAGAAACTTTAAAAAAAAATGAGATATTTACTCACGATTGATGTGTGGGAGACATGGTGACAAAAAAAACTTGCTTCTTCAAGGGGTCAATGTTAGATGCCACCCAATCCGCCCAAGTTCTCATGGCCAACTCCATGCCTCGTAGTCCATCTATTTCTTCACATGCTCCATCTTGCTCATTGCTCCATCTGCATAAACAAAAGAGTTTCATAAGTAATATTGCACGAATCCATTTTTTTCTTGGATAAGTAAAATATGCAATACCTCCCCACTTGCTCAGTATCATATTCTTTTTCAACTTTATTTAAAGGTGTAGGCACTCCAACTTTCCCTTTAAGTATCTTCTTTTTAAGGCACTCCAACTTCTCGATTAAGTGTCATTTCTTTTTAATATAATAAATCCCACTGAAAGTATCCTATAATCCTATTCTAATCTATATGAGATCTCGGACAGACTTACAACAGTTTGACCGGGCCTTGCCTCCACCATAGGTAAGAATTGAAGACTAATATGTCAGCATTCCTCCAGTGTGACGAATGCCTGAGATGTGAATCGGGACGGAGAATTCGCTCTGACAACCTATGATCAACGGGATGATCAGAGTTAGATTCCACAAGAAGCGGTGCCCAGAGAAATTCCACACTGGCATTATACTCCTGCTCCAATATAGCCACAAGAATAGTAAGTAGAACGAAGATAATAGACCTACACACCTCAAAATTAAGACATGTAACTGGATATACAAGTTCGGATACCTCTGTTCTAAAGATTGAAAGATGTTGCTGAGGTGACATGTATCGCTTATCAGACGGAATCACAGACTGCAACATACACACCATTGACATCCATTGGTTTCTATTCAATGAATCCCCGACAAACATTAGTCTTTTGCCCCTCAATTTCTCCCACACTTCAGTTGCATTCCATCTGCAAACCAAAAACAATCACTTAACGAGCCTAATATTAACTGATATATATACTAAGTTCAACTCCAATACAATGCGAGCAAACAGAAATACCTCTTCAAATCGCAACCGTGGGGTTGCCATCTCCAATGCTGGTAACCATTCTCGGGCCTTCCATGCTTTTGGCACGCCAATTGATCAGACATATAAGGGCAGTCAGACTCACTGTAAAGTGGATGTGAAGTGTTATCAAAGACCCACTCGCCCGAGAAGAAGTCACAACTCTCTGGCATTTCTCGTCTACCACCGGACTCTGGCACGGGAGCATCCCAATTGGCTCCCCTGCCGCTATACTCTACCGTGTAGTGGCATTTACTAGACTTATCCAATTCCCTAGCTACAAATGTTTATACAGAAAAACAAAAAGTTCCCCATTAGATCAAACAAAAATTGACATTCTAAATGAAGAAACCTAGATTGTTTCTACTTTCTAGTACACTTGTTCATATGAAAGTAACCCTCAAACAACCTTGAAAACTCAGACAAAGTACAGTTAGAGCCCAACACATTAGGGTGAGTAAAGATTCAGTCTTTAGTTGTTAGATAAAGAAATGGAAAGATTCTGATGCAAAACAAACAACCTTCCAACATATGAGATCACAATGAAAGGGACAACAAGCACAACATTTCAAGAAACTCCCCCAAACCCTAGAGAGTCCAAACATTTACCCACTGAATAGCAAAAAGGAACATAATATTCCTCCTATGATCTTGAGAGAACAACAGAGAGGGAGAGTGACCTGAGTTCAACTTTAGGGCTGTGAGATTCTTGGATACGAGAAAAGGGTGTTCCTCGGACGGAGATATTTCTTCAACGTTGCTTCCATTGAAGAACACGGAGAAGACTATGAACGCAAACAAGACAAGCGCAATCAAAGGGTACTGCCCTCTCTTCTTCTGGCACTTCTGCATTTTTTTGGGTGCGCCCACACCGGGAAACAAACAGAAAACAAATTGTGGGAATTGGAATTGATGACTGAGAGAGAATCTTGACTGCAATCTCAAGATTTTCAACCTTAATATATAATTCAGACAGCCGACATTGTCGCTAGTAATTAACTACAGTTAACTAATCTTAGCTAGTATAAACAGTGTCTTCATCATTTGAACTTGGCTGAGAAATGGATAGGCCCCACCAAATTTAACCCTAGATTAATGGTACCTAACCAGGAGATTATGTTTTGAATGGAAGTTTTTATTGCCAGGTGACACTATTCTACTCATATACTCCATATCCATATACCTACTTCACTTGTTATGGTAACTTACTATAATTTCCCAATAAAGTAGTTTCTATAGAATAATCGTATTTTTTGAGAGGATGTATCATTTTCTCAGTTTTTTTTTTTTTTTCTTTCTTTTGGGTAGGGAAAAGGGCCAAAACCCCTGGGGGATTAAGAGATTTTTCTAGACGCTACGTTGTTAGAATCCCGTTGCAGAATCGAGATCAACTCATCAGGAGGGTGGCTGAGAATAGTCGTGTCTCAAGAAGAAGTCTGGCCCATGTTGGCTAATTTTGTCACATTGAATGATTAATAGTTACTAAGAATTTTGACTTTTAAATTTTTTTTAGTATCCAGTTACTAGTGTATCAGTTTTGAACTTTTGATAGACTGATGATATGGTCCTTCCTAATATACTCATCAAAATTTCTTATTTATAGCGAACGAGTATTAAAAGCGGATGCTCTATAACTTCTCCCTGTTCAATTTATTAGTCTTTGACTAATTTATAGCAAGGTTGTTTTGTGTCAAAAATTTATATATTTCAAATTAAGTTAAGGAATTAATTTCACTTTTGGTCCCACGACTTTTGATGTTTTATCATTTTTGGTGCACAACTTTAAAATTTATTAATTTTGGTGCCTAACTTTGTTATTTTTATCAATTTTGGTCCTTTCGGTCAAATTAACAGCGAAATGTTGCTGGATTTTATATTTTTAGGGGTAAAATTGTCATCCCAAGGAAACATCTTCAATATCTAAACAAAATCACTGTAAAATCATATCTATAGGGGTTTGATCGATGAGAATAATGGGGAAGACGGACAGAAACCAGACAGATCTATGGGATTTATAGTTTCGACCATTGGCAAACTCTTCTTTTCCTCTTAATATGATTTTTCTTTTGTTTAAATATTGAAGATCTTTCCATGGTATGACGATTTTGCCCCTAAAATATAAAATCCAGAAATATTTTACCGTCAATTTGGCTGGAAGGACCAAAACTGATAAAAATAACAAAGTTAGGCACCAATATTGAAAAAATTTAAAGTTGTGCACCAAAAGTGATAAGAACTCAAAAGTCGTGGGACCAAAAGTGAAATTAATTCTTAAGTTAAGTAACTATTCATTGTAATTATTTTTGAAATTATGTTAAAGTAAAAACCTAAAAATTGAAAAGGTTACTGCCATTCTTACTTAGCTAAAGGAGCCTAGACAATATAATTTGTGGATGAAGTGAACCATATTAATAGCTACAATAGGAAATGGAAATTTATGCAGGAAAATTTCTTGTTATGGCAGGTTCTTAGACTGTAGTATTTGACTATTATTTGTATTTGGTTCATGTACCTACTATGCATTTGGTTACCTTGGACTTGTAATGCCATTTGTCGTTGGTCCAAAACCGTTAATGGATTTTAGTGTGTCAAAATAGCCCATACTATTCATCTTTGCTTGCAGGCCTGCTTATCTCATCAACTTGCAATAGTTATGCTGTGCATGATGCACACGATTGCAAAATGACGTCGTTTTGACTAAAAATACGAGTCTCATTTAAAAAAAAAAATCAATTTTGATTCCCTTCAACAGCATTATTGTGGCTATATAGTTATGAATTTGTGGATATATAGTTATGAATTTATGGATATTTAGTTCATTCATTGTGGATATTTAGTTCATTCATTCTGGATTTTGTGTTATTCATTCACTGTGGATATATAGTTATAAATTTGTGGATATATAGTTATGAATTTATGGATATATAATTCAAATTATGCACAAAAAAATGATATTACTGGGAATCGAACCTTTTTTTTTTTAAAAGTGGGCATTTTTAGTCAAAACGACGTCGTTTTTGCTTGCACAATATAATTTGCGATCAACTTGCCAATCATTATACTATAGACCAGGGTTCACAGTATATTGTGGATCCTAATACATGTATATCAGTGTATGTGTCTTATGTTGTGAATTTTTGTATCTTGTTATGAAATTTTATATTAGTATAAATTTTATACCTGAAACAAATTAGTAATTGTGTCTTATGTTATGAGTTTCAGTCTATACAGTTGGGAAACAGGACAAGAACATGCATATGACAGTAACAAGAAGAATGAAATCAAAATATGAAAACATCCTTAACTAGATTCCAAAGGATTTTGAGAAAGAAAGTGTATACTATGAATCCTGAAGCATAATGTAGGCATAAAGAATTTGATTCCAAACATCAGGGACTCCAGGCAAGCACCAATGCACACAATCTGAGTAGCTCTTTGGGTCCAACAACTGTTCTTCCGTTGGAGCTTCCCAATGCTTCTTGTAAATGGAAGTGTGACCATCTTTTCTGTAATCTGAGAGTTGTGTTATGTTTATGTATTGGATTCTCAGACCTTTGCTCTCCAGCCGCTGTATAACTCCCTCTGCAGTGCGCATCATTCCTTTATCCGATCCTCTTCCCCAGTAATCCATTCTTGAGATTGGTTGTGTTTCATTGTAGCAGTTCTGATCCTCCGGCATGCCCCAATCCCCTGCCCTGTAAGATGGAACAACAACATACCGTCATAATTGAAAGATGTGCTCCGTCTCAACTGATAGTTAGACTCTATGAACTCCAAGCAACATGTTGACTATAGTCTGTTTTTGAGATGATAAAGCAAACTTGCAGTCACGGCCTAAGGGTGTGCACACTTGTGACTCTAGCTGACAAAAGACCACAAGGAGGTAAACCAGTTTAGATTACCCATAAGTGGCCGACTCAAATAAAAAAGGCTAAGATTTGAACTTGTGATCTTGTGACTACAAGTTTGTATCCTTAGCCAACATAGCTGGAGTTAACCCACTAAGTCACTTTTATCGGGTTGAGTAGAGATTCAAACCTATGACCTCTTGTATGTGGTTGACTCTGATACTAAATTGAAGCATGTGCCTCTCAATTAAAAGTTTAAACTAATAGTTAGATTGCACATTTATAGGTTTAAACCCTAAACCTGATGGTCCCTCACTCCTATCCTGGTGCCCAGGAATCCTCCATTCCCCATTCGAACCTTGGGTAATTGCTGGGCATTATATTACACTCAAACTCTCGACCATTGAATTATGTTCGGGGGCTTGGACTATACATTTATGTTTATATGTTAGATGTCTAACAGTTTGGAAATACTAGGAAAATATAGAGGAAGTTGGGATTGTTACAGTTTATGGTAAGGGGAGAGGCTCATGAAGAACAGCTGTGTTCTTGTTGTGTTGATGTTGAACTCGAGCCAATCCGACCATGTTTCCAGTGCCATTTCATAGCGACGAAGCTTCATTGCTACCCTCTTGTACACTGCATCCGGGCTCTCGAATGACCCCCACCTATCATCACCAGCAATTCGATTACAGATCATTAGAACTCGGTGGTGATTTTTTCTGCAGAAATTTCAAAACTGGGATAATGGACTTACAGGAGGGTCATGGTGGGCTCTAGCCACCACATAAAGGAACCAAAAACCACAATATCTGCATCAGTCCATTGCCTGGCATGCTTCTCAATTGCCTTTATTCTGGCAATTCGATTCCGGACATGATGGTTAATTGGATCATCACAGTTGGATTCCACCAGCAATGGAGACCAATAGAAGTCGATTGTGGCATTGTATTCCTTCAATTCATCCAAAATTTCATTTCTCAGTCAATCAGAGACCCAAGATTCAGAGAAAATTAATGGTGGTTTTCTTACCTTGGATTCAAAAGTTACCAAATTGCCTTTCCAAATGGAGGATTTGAAAGATGGAGCTAAAGAAGATTCAACCATGCACACCATTGACATCCACTGGTTCTTCATCAGAGAATCTCCTACAAATATAAGCCTCTTCCCTCCCAGCTTCTCCATTAATGCAGTAGCATTAAACCTTTGATAGATGTTTTCATGGATTAAAAACAGTAGTCAACTAACAAATCAAAGCTACCCAGAAATGATAATAAGAAAACAAGAAATACAGACCTTGGGAGATCACAATCATGGGGCTGCCACCTCCAATGCTGATACTCCAAGTCCTTTCTCCCATGCTTCTGACAAACAAAATCTTCCACCATGAAAGAACACTCTTGCTCCTTGTACAACGGATACGATTCGTTGTCATAAACCCATCTCCCTGAGAACAAATTGCACCTTTGGATCAACCCCTTTCGCGAAATCTGATGCACTTGTCCCTGGACCACATCTTCAGTACCCCCAGTCATGTAAAATGTGACAACCACAAATGCCAGAAGAAAGCTCCCAATGATGGAATGGAGGTTGTATCTGATAATCCAAGATGAAGCATGATGCCCTGCTGCTCTCTGATCTGTGCTTCCCATTTTTCTACTTGTTTTGATTTCCTTGAGCACAACAACTCTTTGGTTTGGTACTTATATAATGCTTAGCAGTTGCTAGTAAGTACAGAATTTCAAGAAAGTGTAAACAATTTCTTTTGGTTTAATTTTGTCAACCATTAGGTGGTGGTGGCTCTTGCATGGTTTTGTTGTGAGACAATCATTTGTTTGTCAAATAATCAACTTGTTTGATATGACATAGAAAGCATCATCAACCATGGGCAATGTTCGATGGTTTCTTTATGTGTTTATCTTGTACATGTTTAAATAATAATTTAAGTCTTTAAAAAAAGTAAAGTTGAATATATGTATGATCATACCTGGTGGTATCCCATTTGTCCAGTCTCGATTCTGTATATGTGATTCATTGTGCCAACTTATAATTGCTGAATTATGTATAGACTGGGTGGATGAACGATGAAGACACAATACTGTTGACATAAATCATTTTCAAGAAAACTATTTGAATTAAATATCAACCTAATCTGATTCACTAAACTTATCAATCTTACCTCAATTAGTATACACATCCATAATTACAAACAAAAAACAAGCAAAATAGAAGTAACCAAGGAGCTCTAGTATAGAATCGCCGAAATTGTACGATTGTTCCAGGCGTACGACCCGGATACGTTAAGGTCTAGTTAAACCTTATGGGTAATTCTAGCTAGAGCTCCCAAGGAGGCAAGGACTTCTTTTTTTTAGTTTTAAGTTCTAATTTAATTTGACGAAAGAAGTGAAGAGAGGTGAAAGTTGAAAAGTTAAATGATGATGAGAGATCAGATCAGAATTTGTCGCCCAAAAAATGTGACGAAATTGTGTAGGGCTTATTTATATCGTACGACCAGGGAAGTTGACGATTTCGAACCGTAGAAGAGTTCATAATCTAAAAATGCGACAAAGCTGTTTTGGCCTGCTTAGATCACATGATCTGATCAGGTAAATTAATATTAATTATGAGCAGTAGATGTCAGCATTACTCGATCTAATCAAATGCCAGATTATTAAAGTAAAATTTTTAGCTGTATGAATAGTTAGGCAGACTTTATTTTATTATTATTCTTCCCTCACACGGTTGAATCAGTAACTTCAAAGACAGAATTAAATGTCAGTGTTCATGAAAAATTTGTTCACTTTAAACATAATTCACAGTCATCATTGAAGTTTGAACCTTGACCTCTTCTCCTGAATACTATCTACTACTGAATCATTGAACGTATTTTTTTATTTATTTGTTATTTTTGCATGTCTGCCGCAGCCAGTTTATTATGAAATTTTAAAATTATAATTATAAATTAATGGTAATAAGATACGTAATCTTGTTTTCTTATAATTTAGTGGCTGACATGTTCAGTAAGATGCTCTAGAGAGAACGTGCAGATTTCTTTGACGGATATTTGTCGTCTGCACGTCAGCTCCGACGAATATCATCAAACTGCTTTTTTCTTTTTCTCGATCCATAGTAATTTTTGTAGTATAGTTTAAAATAATAATAATAATAATAATAATAATAATAATAATAATAATAATAATAATAATAATAATAATAATAATAATGCAACTAAACCAATAAACCAAATTATTAAAAAATCAATATTCCTCCCCACGTAGAAAGTCTACATACAGTACGTGACAGAGCAGCAAACTAAAAAATATATATATGATGATTTAAGGATTTTAAGCCACCAATTTGAGACAGTAAATAAGTAAATTACTAATACAACTGTTAGATTAAAGATTCAAATATAAAAAGCATAATTTGTTAAAGAGTTTTGGGTCTTTTTGCTTTATTTAATTTGTTGTGAGTTTAATTTGAAGGTGTTTCACTTTCTACAAGTTAAATTAAATTCGACTTCTTTCATTGCACAAATGAAGAAACAAAAAATCAATTCTAGTAGATGAGACATATCACTTAAAATTTATTTTAAGCGGTAGGGTAAGAGTTTAATTTTGTTTTCACGAACGTTGAGAATTTATTTTGAGTTGGGCTTCTTATGTGCAGAAGTATACTTTGGTATTGAGTCTTGAAATTAAATTGACTCATATCTTTTCGTGAGTCTGGAGGTGGTTATGAAATCTATGATATAATCTGACAGAAATTGAAAAACGTGGACTATCACAATTTAATAAAGAAATAAAATAAAGAAGAAAAAATGAACAAGAACACAAACACATAAGAGTTGGAATGTTGAATCTGTGGCTACTTTTGCTAATCTTTTTTATTGCCTTTTACTTATTAAAAGTACGTCTAACGTCTAATTTAAGTGTACAAACTTATAAAAAACAAAAAAAAAAAAGTTTAATTTTGCTTTAATTCAACAAAATATAATTAAAAAAAAATTGAATAAGAGCAATATTAAAATCATTTAATACCCACAGCTAAAATCAATTGTTATAGACTATGGACTGTGGAGTGGTTGATCGATTTCAAATACAGTATGACTTATGATGAATAAGTGAACAGTGGGCTCTGTGCTGGTATTGCATTAGGTTGATATGTTGACCACTCCATAATCATTTTTTTTATCAACCACTTCAAATTATTATCATACTCCTCACATTAAACAAAAAGCTAAAATTACGGCAATTTAATGGTCCATTATATAAGAAGACCAGTGTATGGTCCCTACAATGAGCCCACTACATTATTGGGTGTGAATTTTACATTGTGGTTGGCAGTGCTCGATCATGTGTCATTGCTTACAATTTGTTACTCAAGAACGAATTGAGCTATCCGTGATGGCAACTTAGACTGATATAATTTACTTTCTTGTACCTAGTTCTTTACCAATTAGGATCACAGCTGGCAGTGGTTGTGAAAGAAGTAAAATAAAATAAAATAAAATAAAATAAAATAAAAACTTTCTTTTTGATATATTTGACAAAAGTGGTGATTGAACATGTGATCTCTTAATTATTTAGGATCACAAATAAGTCAGGCACAAATTAGGGTAGTAGCAATTGTGAGATGATCACTTATATACAATTGCCAAATCAAATAGCCTTAAAAAAACAAAAATGTTAGACGTAATTGAAAATGTGAGCATAGAGGAGTTGATTCCAGACATCAGGAACTCCAGGAAGGCACCAATGGATGCAATCTGCGTGGGCTTTGGGGTTTGCTATTTGCTCCGCCGTCAATGGCTCCCATTGCTTCTTATATATTGAAGGGTGCCCTTCTTTTCTGTACTCTGATAGCTGCGTTATGTTTATGAATCCCACGTTTACACCTCTCCCTTTCAGTTCATCAATGGCGGCTTCCACCACTTTCATCATCTTTGGATCCGACCCGTTCCCCTGGTATCCTTCTTTCTTTATTGCCTCCGTCTCCCCGTAGCAACTCTCCCCTACCTCTTTCCCCCATTCTTCCGCCCTGCATGCATGTATATGTATTATATTCTAAATTTAATGTTAGCATCAAGCTCTTATATCCTTAAGCTTAAAGATATATATAGCTGATGACGCAACTTTATTTTCTTATATATTATTACATTTTTTAAAAACAAGGTGCTGAACTCGGTTTTTCACTAATCTTTAATTTGTCCTCTCAATATCTACTAGTCTTAATTACATAATTTTGTTTTTGTGAATTGACTCTGATATCATTTGTTAGGATAAGTGTTTATCCCATATTGAAAGTGGTATCTGATTAAGTTGGTACCTTTCATGGATGGGGGACATGCTTATGAAAAACAATTGGGTTTTGGAACGATTGATGTGGATTTCGAGCCAGTCGGACCATGTTTTCAAGGCCATCTCATAGCTGCGGACCATTTCTACTTCTTTGTAGATTCCGTCGCTCCTTACATCGTCAAATGAACCCCACCTGCATGCAACCCACATCAAATATAATATTTCACATTTTTATGTAACAAAATATTTTAGTTCCGTTAGATACAATTCCAGTTAAATTAGTTAGACTTTTTACTCGGTAATCGTAAAGTTTCAAAGTTCGACTTTCAATAGAAATAATTTTCTTGGTTTGAACTAGCTAGTTATATAAACAATTTAGGCTAATTTATATCATTGGAGTCTTTTATCAGTTAAGATCACAAAATGGTTTGAACTGATTAATTATGAAAAACCTAACTAATCAACTATATACAGCCTAGGTTTATTTATCTCACTCAAAAAATTAAAATATTTTAGTAGTTGAGTTACTTACAAGACTTTGATATGGGGTCGTCTCCACCAAAGGTAAGTGTTGAAGACTAGATAATCGGCATCAGTCCACCGGCTGCCGTGCTTTTCGATTGCGTTGGCTCTCACTATTCTCTCCGGCAGCCGGTGGTGCACCGGATCGTCGGAATTCGATTCCACCAGTAATGGTGCCCAATAAAATTCAATTGTTGCATTAAATTCCTACATATATACACCCAATATTTAACATCTAATTATTAAACAAAAAAAAAAAACAGAGAGTGGAAAGGGAAAGGTCAGGATCTCTTTCATTCATCTACACATACATAATCCAATGGTACACAATAAAAAGGAATGATAAATGGTCTACATAATGATCATTAAATATGTCCGTTACAAATATTGTCCACCATCAATATTATTTATAACACTCCCCCTTGGACATTATTTGACCACGTATTAAACAAAAAAAACAGATCAATGGTACACAATAAAAAGGAATGATAAATGGTCTACATAATGATCATTAAATATGTCCGTTACAAATATTGTCCACCATCAATATTATTTATAACACTCCCCCTTGGACATTATTTGACCACGTATTAAACAAAAAAAACAGATCAATGGTACACAATAAAAAGGAATGATAAATGGTCTACATAATGATCATTAAATATGTCCGTTACAAATATTGTCCACCATCAATATTATTTATAACACTAATATAATAGTAATCCATTGGATAATAAATTAAACTTATTATTGTTGGATTGGACTTACTTTGGCCTTGAAAATGATCAAGGAGGCATTGTACTTATAGTGCATGGATTTGGAGGAAGGTGGAATGGCAGAATCAACAAGGCAGACCACGGAAACCCACTGCCCTCTATTCAAAGAATCCCCAACAAAAACAAGCCTCTTGTTCCTTAGTTTCTGCAGCAATGCTGTGGCGTTGAACCTAGCTTAATAATATTACCAACATCAAAACATTCCACCCAAGCTCAATACACTATACACAAAAACAACAATACTACCTTCAATATTCATATTAATTACTGTAATTAATAATCACTACTGGAAATTATGAAATTTCCGACCACCTGAAAGTGATCTGTCGAAAGCCTTGTTCCGACCCACTTTTGGTATCCGGAAAAACCTTTGTTGCTATTTCCAATCATTTTTTGGTTTCAACTTGATTTAAGACTTTCGGTGGTCGGAAATTCCATAATTTCCAGTAGTGCATGGAACAAAATGAAAAAATAATCCCATTATGGTGGGAAAAAAAAAAAAAAAAAAAAAAAACCTCCAAGAAGCTAAGAATATAATGAAAGTTAAACCTTGGAAGATCGCATTGATTAGGTTGCCACCTCCAATGTTGGTAGTCCAAATCTTTTCTTCCGAACTTCTGGCAGGCCAATTGGTCGGACATGAAGGTGCATTCTTGTTCCTTGTACAAAGGGTACGACGTGTTGTCGTATACCCATTTCCCAGAAAACAGATCACACTTGGAAGACGATGGCGATGGCGGCGGCGCGTCGTCCATAACGCTTTCTCGGCGGCGCTGGATGGTACTACCCTCGGCGTTGAACAAGAAGTTCTCGGTCTCTCCGGTGAGAAAAACGGCTCCGAGGACGAGAAGGGCGACGAGGAGGGCTGTGAGGGAGTGGAAGGAGCACCTGATGTCCCATAGTGTCGCAGCTGGAGTAGTGGGCGATGGTGAAAGCAATTGGTGAGCTTTGGCCATGCAGCTGCTTCTCAATGATGATGAGGCCGCCGGGTTATTACTATTCATTAATATTGTTGTCATGGCTATCTTATCCTATGAAGATTTTATGTAAGTTAACGAACGATTCAATAATGGTTTCCAGGTTGTAGCTGTAACGGTTGTTGGATCGAATCGAAGTTTCTTGGTTTGTTATGATGAAACTGGGACGTCTGGAAGGAGTAGTGGAGTGGAGTTGTTCAATGAAAGCAACAGTGATCGATATGATATGATCTTGCTTCAAGTTATTCCGTTCCTCTGAATTTACCAAAATACCCCTCTTGCATTCTATGAAGGATAATAACAAAAAAGGAGTTAATACCCACTTTAATGCTTGATTATAATGATTTTTCTCGATTTAGTCTTAAATATCTTTTTGTGCTTAATTGAGTCATCAATTTCGGTAATTTTATCTAACAGATGCAAAGTTTAACAGAAGACTCAATTAGATAAAATTATCCAAGTCCAAGACCCAATTAAGCACAAAAAGAAATTTATGATTAAAACGAGAAAAATCACTATAGTCATCGAGGACTAAATTGAGTATTAACTCTAAAAGAAACTAACATTTACTATAACCTAATAGTTTAGACAATTGATAAGCAAGTTGCTAATACAACTATATAATCTGAAGATGATGGGTGTGTCCTAGGACAAATCTATATTATTCGTGATCAACAAGCAACTGGTTATATCATCATACTCAAACCCTATATAGAGAGCTTTCCAATTCCTGCTACTCCATTCACAAGATTCAAATTCAAGACCTTATTTAAGACGGGACAAGTAACTTTACAAATTGACTTTACTATTTTAACATTAATGATTGTTATTCAGTTATTTGCATGTCATTAATGTCATATATCTCTAAAATATGATGGATCACTAAAATATCATTCTCATATATATTACAAACATATATGGTAGCTACTAGCTAGGAGCTGGGGGTGTTTTGGGAAAGAAGAAATGTATCGTGGCTTAGTTGTATTATTATGTATGTTTAGTATATTGGTGTATAATGGATAACAGGTGAGAAACTTGATTTGAGGGATTAGGTTTTGGGGGTTGGGGGTGGTTGACACCTCCATGTTATTATTGGCGTTGACGTGAAGATATCCTTTTTGACTCCATTAATTAACATTATATTTCCTTGATTAGTAGTTTACTAAAACTTCTCCAACTGCTCATAAAGTAGGTTATTATTATTTTAAGCGCTGATTCTTCTTTACTTATTAGCTTCTTTATATTGTTTGCATGGAATTTATCTACTTCATGTTGAATCAATCTCCGATTTAGAGTATAATAATTTGATAATATATTATGTAATACGCTTTGTAAAACTGTCTTGTTGTATGTTTCTCATAGTATCATTAAAAAAACTAAGCTTTATGTGGATACAATGTGAATACTGTCCCACCCGGTATTGAGAAGAGTCTAGAGTATGAGCCATATAGAGTAATATATACATTGATTGTCTAATTTCTGCGGTAGAATTATTAGGATCTTAGCTTAAGTGTTGTATTATTATTTGATACTCTTGTTGAGAGACTGCACTGGTGCATAGAGAAAGAGTTACCTGGAAGAAAATTACTCGATAAGGTTCAAAGGAAACCGAAAAGAATCCAGAGCAAAGCTAGCGGTTTGAGATGGAGTGGGCAATAATATAATACCATAATCCCACTCATGAACTAACTTTTGGAGGTGGGAGTTAGTATCTTGGCTGTTACTATATGGTATTACAATGTAACATGGGACTAATTTTGAAGAAATTAAAGTTGGACAAAGTATCTGAGATCAATTTCATTCCTATAGCATTTCTAGATACATGTAAAAGCTTTAAAGAAATGTATGGTACTATAAACATTAGCAAATGTTCTGTAAAAATTTAGGCGTTTATTGCAATTTGGTTTTTCCGACGCCCAATATTCTCTTCAAATACTTGCAGTTCCTGCAAAAGGGCAGTGAGCTTAGACATATTGTCGTCGTGAACATTAGGAGGAACTTTGTGTTTATATCCCGAGGCACTCATGATCTTCGATAGGTTATCGTGTTGCCTGCCAAAATTATATGGATCAACTAACAATATGCTTTGGTGGTCAAATTGATGAAAGTAGAAGAGCCTGTGTAAATAAATTTTTAAAAATATCAAGAAGAAACTACTGCAGAGTTGCAGAGTGGGATGCCATTTTAGATGTCTTGGAAGCATTGGCTGCTTGTTGTGCCTTAAATGAAAATTACGAGAGTCAAAGAATATAATCTGGCAATAATATGAAACTTCAACACTGTAATTCTCTTCAACATTGACAGAAAGGACAGGGGCAGGCAGTGCACCACTTGATATATGTAGGAACCAAAATAGTAACAAATGGATGGAAAGATGGATCGAGTTTACCTGAATTTTAGCTGCTTCTCCTTTGTGGGCAGCCTTGAGTTTCTTCACTTCTTTCTCTCTGGCCTATGATAAGAATTAAGAAGACAGCCGTCAGTTCATCACTATTTAGAGCAAACAGCATAACAAGAAACAAATACATTATCTTACTCAAGAATGTTTATTATTCTAGCACATACGCAGAGCAAGGAAGTTTTTTTTTAACATCAAATTGATATCGGCCCTTTTAAAACAGTTAGCCCTATCCACCAATTTTGACTTATTTGACCACTATTAGCTATTTGACTTGATTAAACAATCAATATGAGTGCTTGACTAATTAGCTTTTTGTAGTTATAAAAAAAAAAAAAAACTTTTTGTAACAATTTAATATTTCAAAATGCTAAAATTCAAAAAGCTACTCAAAATAACCTTTTCAATTAACTTTTTGAGAAAGTCATTTAGTCAACTAATTTACCAAACGTTTTTGTACAATCAACTAATGCTATCAACTAATTAAATCTATTAACTCAATCAATTAACAGCTATCAGCTAACAACCATTTACCAAACACCATCATCGTTTTGGATCGTGATCCATACAATAATTTGCCTTCATATATAGGCTCATGTTTTGGGCTTCAGGTAATAACATATATGGGCTCATGTTTTGAGTTATATACATAATACATACATGTATATATGGGCTATCAACTTTAGTTTAAAAATTTGGCTTATTTAGTTAAACAAAGTTTCTAATCAATTTAATATAGCAGCTTGGGGCATTTGGTAAGTAATTGATAATGAACCATAAGGTTTGAGGTTGAACTCTTGTGAAGTGTTTGCTTAGAAAATTAATCTCACAATAATAGGGATGTTGAATGAAACAAAAAGTTCTCACTTTTTCATCTAGTTGAAGTTGACTTTTTAAACTTTCATTCTTTTTTTGATGTCTTTATCATGTATCATTTCATTTAGGTAGAGTATAGCGATAAGCTAAGCGTTCAATAAGCCTTCAAATTAGTTAGTATAGTGCGATTGATGAGTCTCCTCAAATTGGGTGTTTTTTTTTTTTTTTTTTTTTTTTTTTTTTTTTTTTTTTTAATGGAGGTGCGCTCGGGACATTTTGCCTGTCCGGGATAACTTGAGAAGGAAAAGAGTGTGGATCGGAGGAGGATGCCCCCTATGTGGGATCGATGCTGAAACAGTCGAACATCTCTTCTGTGTTTGCGCCTTCGCATCGAGTATCTGGGCTATTGCGGATGTGCTACAAGGGAGGCGACTACTCGGCTTCATGGAATCCATGCAAAGTACCAATACGGCAGAGTTGGCGGTAAGGATGGCAGCTATCTTCTGGGTGGTGTGGCAGACCCGTAACGAGGTTGTGTGGAATGCGAAAACGCCAAATGTAACGGCTGCTCAACTTCAGGTGCAGAATTTACAAGCTATGCGGAAGGAGGTCTATGCGACATCTTTGCGTAACACCTGCTGCTCGGTAGTGATTGTTCAATGGACACCACCACCTTCCAATTCCGTCAAATGCAATATTGATGCCGCTGTATTTGGAGATGTAGCTGGTTTTGGAGCAGTCGTCCGAGACCATGTCGGGCGGTTTGTTACAGCCAAAAGCGGTCGCTTAGGGGGTGTTGTGGATCCCTTTGTGGCGGAGGCTTTGGCAGCTAAGGAGGCTCATTCTTGGCTTAAAGACCAAAATCACAACAACATCGTGCTTGAATCAGACTGTTTAAATTTCTGCAATGCTTTCAATTCTTGCAAATTTGATCATTCTTACGTAGGTTTAATTGTAAAGCAATGTCGTTCAATTGCTAATGACATGGGGAATGTTTGTGTTTCTCATGTTAAGAGATCAGCGAATCGTGTAGCTCACGTGTTAGCTAGGGCGACCGGTTCTATGGCTGGTCCAGGTGTATGGGATGGTAATCCCCCTGATTGTATTGTCGAGTTATTGAATATTGAATGAATGTCTTTCCTTTTGCTTCAAAAAAAAAAAAAAAAAAGATTAAAAGTAGGCACACAAAAAAAATTAAAACAAAAATACAATCGACTCATTTTCCATGTGAGTTAATTACCGAAATGATCCCTTAACTATAACGAAATTACCAATTTGGTCCTTGACTATTTTTTTAACTAATTAAGTCCCTCAACTTTAAAAATCTTAACCAATTTGGTCCTCCGTTTGTTTGACCGTTAGTCAACCGTTAACTTGGAACCAAATTGGTAATTTCGCTATAGTCAAGGGACCATTTTGGTAATTAACTTTAGGGGTGAGCAATTTGGTTTAGTTTTCTCGAACTGAACCGTACCAAACCGAACCGAACTAATTTGGTTCGGTAATATACCGAACAACTGAACGGTATTGGATTCTTGTATACCGAACGGTTCGATAAAAAATCGATCCGAACCGATCCGAATTGTTCGGTAAAAAATTGAATTGAACCGAATACCGTTTGATTTTTTTAAAAAATATAATAATAATAATAATAATAATAATAATAATAAATAAATAAATAAATAAATAAATAAATAAAGTAAATCCAAGTCCCTTACTGCTTGCTCTGATGTTCAGCTCATATTCTCACGGGTATCTCTTGTAAATGTTTTATTTGATTTCTTTATGGTTTGTTATCACAAGTTCTATATTATGTGTTATGGTGTTTACATAGTCCATATCCAAAGTCTAATATATTACAAAATAGCAATCCAAAGTTCAAACGGTATTCAGTTTGGTTCGGTTTTTACCGAACAAATCAGTTCGGTTCGAGTTTTTACCGAACCGTTCGGTATACAAGAATCTATTACT